GAAGGTCAAGCCTATTGCATGCCATAACATGCATTATTCTGGCTGAAGGCAAATGGGCTTGTTTGTGATGAAGGACACTTGGAAGGAGTTCTATTTTTGTAAAGGAAAAAAAAAACACAGTGCTACGGGGAAAAAGGCTTGTCTCTGATTGCTTTTCCATTCTGTGTAAGCAGGCTCTTTTTGAAACCAAGTAGCTGCCCAAGCTGTCTTCAGATGAACTTCTTAGATATGCTGGAGTTACAAAGACTGAAAGTACCACGCTGGTATCTCCTCAGCCATGCACAGTAATTCATTTAAAGAGATGAAAAAGCTTTACAAAAAGTTTTTTTTATGCTGAAGTCCAGTGCTCAGCAGATGTTATTTTTTCAAAAGATTTCCATGTTAAGATTTTAGAGAAGAGTAGATAGCAGGTGGGCCTGAAGAAGGTTGGCCAAGCCTCAAGCATCTTGGGTTATATGCTGTCATCTGTCTGTCTCTCGCTTCTGCCTGTGTCCTAAGCAGCATGGCCAGCACCAACTTCAGTTGTTTCTTTTGGTCATAAAAGCATTACCATAGCTTGGAGTGAAGCCTATGTGAAATCATTAGGAAAAGAGAAGCAAAAGAGGCTCCAGAGGCTGAGCTGAGGAGTCTGGGTACAAGGAGAGCTTGACCTGAGCATCATGGCTCAGACTTCCTCTCCCTTCGCTCCTCAGTGCCCTGACATATGCCTCCAGACCGGATGCAGCAGTCCTCCAAGTTCTTCATACCCACTGGCATTATGTATGTTCCCACAGAAGCTGTCATGCTGAACCTTCTTGTAATGGCCCTGATTCCAGCTGGCACGAGCACAAGAACGTGTCCTCTCCCAAAGCACGTACTCCACAGCACCAGTTCCACCATGCAACACCATGTACCTCTTGGCTCCCTACCCTCCTCATTTTTGAGCTTTGCAGAGAGTAAGCTTCCACTTCTAATGCTCCAGTTGCACATCTGTAATTCACTGACCTTGCTTCACCACTTGAACGTGAACCAAGTGGACAGGTCTAATTACCTTACCAGTCATCATGCTGACCAGGATCTATTTTTTAAGGTACAGCCGTGGCATTCTTGTAAGAAGTATAAGCAAACGTAATTTCATAGCTTGCTTTGCAAGTTAAGGACTTGAGCATTGTACGGGATCTTCTCAAGTTTTATGGAGGAAACAATTCATTCTGAAAGCAGGTACATGTATGTGCATGTCTGGTTCAGCTAGGCCTGTCTGATGGACTGGATCAGAGAGTGCTGCATATGAGAAAATGTGCTTAAATGCAGCGTGCTCGCTGTAGGCAGGGGAAAGCTAACCTGTCTGTGCTGAAGGACCAATAGAGTGAGTGGAGACCTACTGCCTTAGATACCTTGAGGAAAGGTGAGATAACAGCTCGTGAAAATACAGCATAAGCTGTGTGAAGACTGCAAGAAAGGAGAAGGAGCTGCTGCACCTGACAGCGAGGTCTTGGATTCACTTGGGTGAGTCATGGCAAGTATTGAGTTTGAAGTCTCAGCTGTATGAAATGATACCCTGAGCAATTTCGTGTGTAACCTCGAATTTTCTAGGTAATTCTGTGTACTTTCTCCTTCTAGAGCAATATTACAGGATAGAAACTTTGATATAGCCTTAATTACAGGCTAGAGCTGTTATAATAGAGCTCCTGTAGGTAGGTCAAAAATCTTTCCAAGCATGACACAGTGTTCCAGTAAGCATTTGCTGAGGAGCGGTTCTAATGACAAGCTGCTGATTAAGCAGTGTTTCAGCAGCTAGAATTTTTACATGAGATTAAAAAGAAGGTGCATTACATTACGCTGTTAATCTCTCTGCCAAATTGTGCTGTGTGGGAGAAATATTTAACAAGAAGTTTCCATGCTTTGTCAGTCTATGGTATCATTCAGGAAAAGAATGTACTGCGTTTGAGGGGAGAGTTGTGTTGGTTGGTAGTTAAATATCCAATCCTTCTCCATGGAGTATGTCAATGGACTAACTCATCCATGTGTCCTGTAACTTCTCTCTGTTCCCAAAGGTTTCCAGAATAGTACTGCTCAGTACTTAACCTCTTGTCTACCTTATATACCCAATTGCCAGAGCCATCTGGTACTCATTTTGTGTACGCCCAGTATTAGGGAATATCAGTAAGGAAGAATTATAGAATGGCCTGGGTTGAAAAGGACCACAATGATCATCTAGTTTCAACCCCCCTGCTATGCGCAGGGCCACCAACTACCAGGCTGCCCAGAGCCACATCCAGCCTGGCCTCGAATGCCTCCATTCTTGAAGAAGCAAAGTGTTGCTGTGTTTTTTTTAGGGACATTGCTCATCAGGATTCTTAAGAGCTGTGGGAGGTGTGTGGGCTGTGTGGAGGAGGAAAGAAGAACTGCTGAGATTAAAAGCTGTGATTAATTGTTCACAATGACGCATGTGCTTTACAAACACCAGGCTCAAGGAAGTCTCTGCCTTGAGCAGCTTTGAGCTACAGTGTGAGTAGAGAAGATCGGACACCCAAGAATGAGAGAAGATATAGAGGAAGTCAAGAAGAATAATAGGTCACAAGTAAGGTGTTGGTGGAACTGGCCCCAGTCTGTACCCTGGCTTTGACTTACCCAGCTTTTGAAGCAACTTAGAAATACTTAAGAATGAAGTCTACTGGAAATAAAGGGATGCAAAGTATATCTTAAATACTTGAGCAGAGGCCTATTATAAGTGATACTGAGCCTAGCAGTGCTGGTTTGGGCTTCCTTGAGGGAGTGATGGCAATGCTGACTTTCTTCCAGTCGGAGGTATATTTGCCATATAGGTAGCAGTTGGGACAGCTTTCAGTCAGAGGACAAGCACTAAACTAGAAGGCACACAACAGTAATGGCAGTAAAGAGCAGCTGTGCGTCTTTGTGATGGTGTAGAGGACAGGGCATTTACAGCCTCTTCATGAATGCTTGTTTAGTACCTATCGTGTTAATGAAGCTTTTGGTTAGGCCTTTCTTAGCTATACTTCTAAAAGTTTTTTTTCCAGAGTCAGACTCCAGTTGGCAAGATAGGTCCTATTCTAATGTGCATTTGAATAAGTCTTGGCTTGCATTTTTTATACCCTCGGGTAGATGAGAATTGTTCTAAGTCCCATCGTTGTGCCACTTGTAGGGGCTGGGCTGTGTGAGGTAGTGGAAGCAGCAAGAAGCACGGCCAGGGCTGTGGGTGCCAGGGCCTCCATTTCCTCCCAGTGGGTGCCTTCATCTGGTCAGCTGAGTCACGCGGCACAGCCTGTGCATCTAAATAGATGCTGACTGCTGGCAGAAAAGGAAATGCACCAAAGAGGAGAATTAGCTCTGTTGCCCATGGGGTTGCTCGTTACACCAGGGGTGCTGTCACTTGGTACCTGGGATGAAGGGAGTGAGAAGGCTGCCATTTTGCAGTCATTAATCAAATCTTTCAGCACCAGTCAGCTTAAAAACAAGCACTTCCTCAGCTGACACTGCAAAATCTCCAAGCCTGACTCTGGAAATGGCAGGCTTCTGCCAATGACACCCCAGCTTGGCTGGCGATGAGGCTGCCTGGTATCTGCAGATGCTAGCTGTTTTGCTTCCAGACTTCTCAATTTCCCTGTGCTCCACTTGATTACACAATGCCAGATGGCGCAGCGAATTCTGCACCAACGCCACAAACAAACTCCACAAAGAGGGCTGCAGACAGGAACCACACGGGGAATTTAGGCAGCAGATAGTCCTGAGGTCTGGCCAGGTGTGTGGAACTTAGAAGAGAAGATGATAAATGATAGCCGGATGTGAGAGAGATGCCTACAGTGCCTCTAACCAGGACAAAGAAATAAAGGGCCTTTTCTTTATCCGTGCTCAGAAAACTGACGTGGAGCTGTGAAGCAAAATAAGGGAGAGAATTGTGAGAGAAAAATGCCCTGTCTTCCTGCAATGCTTCTGTCATTTGGGGGGATTATTTTCATGTTCCAGAAATCCAGCTGTGGGGTGCGTATCTGTAGAAAATTTCCTCCACTCTGTGCTTTGGGTAATGGTTTAAAACATCTCTCGTAGGTAAAAAATTATATTTGGCTGTGCTGAAGCTTTTAAAGTGCTTTTTAAACATAGAAAATATCAGATGACGTTCTGATGCGTCTGTAAGGTGTGTTCACAGAGCTCCAAATTCTTTTCAGGCTCTGTGCTCCAGTCTGTCCATTGCAGCAGTAATATTTCCAGGATATTAGCTGAGCACCATGAACGCACTTGAAATCTGCCTGCATTAAACACCTGAGCTCATCTGCTGTTGAATCATATCAGCACCAGCTTTCATGGTGACACAATTAGCCGGCTCCATCTTAGTGCAGCCTTTGCATTTGGGTGAAGTCCAAACCTGCCATTGTGGGAGCCTCCTGTGATCCTTTCCTTTACTGGCAAATCAGATGCCTGTGTTGTACACAGGAGTTGGAACTGGTGATCCCTACGGGTCCCTTCCAACTGCAGATGTTCTATGATTTTGTGATTCTATTTGTCCTTTGGCAACTCAAAGGGTCAGGGCTAGATGGCCTTTAACGGTCTCTTCCACTCAAATGAGTCTACAATTTCCATTGTTTTAGCATTAGTTAATAAGAGCACTATCAAACAAACTGAAGCACCAGGGGATTTTTATTTTGTTGGCCAGGTTCTGGGTGAGGGGACTCTTTACGTGGCAGCTGGCATAGGCACCTGGCCCTGGAGTTTGGAAAAAAAAGAAAACACAGTTTTGTATATTTTATAGACAACTAGATTGGTTCATGCAAGTTTGAGGTTAAAGGGAGATACTCCAGTACCTAGTGCCCTGCCTGGTATTCCTCTTCTATAAATAAAATCAAAGGGTCATGTCTGTCCAGAAAGTTTGCCCATGCAGTGTTTCATTGCTTGGCGGTAGTTGTTGTCCATGACCTTTATTCCAGTGGTAGTTATGCCTACCAGCAGCAAGATATGCTGAATGCAGCAAATCATAAATGGAATGCATGTACAAATCTGCACTTTAAATGAACTTTTATAATCTGTAAAATTTAATGATGGCCATGCAGAAGAAAGGAAACCTTTAAACAAAAGGGCGGACTCACACGAAGGTGCTATGATAAAATGGCAGCAGCACGTGGCAGCCGAGGCACCCAGCCCAAGGTGGGAGATAGTATAGGTGAGGTCCTTTCACCACTACCTGCCTCCTCCAGCACATAGCAGTTACTGCAAATGGAGCATCTGTAGCTTCATCAGTGCGTATTCCATCTTAGCATCTCTATAGTTGCCCCAAGCTGATGACCTATTTATTCCTTGGTCCCTCTAATCCCTTGGTGCTGCAGCATTCATTAAAAGCATAGATATCTTGGTTTGTTTACTATTGGCCAGGTATGAGTTTGCTCTGTTATCTTCATCAGGAGGGACAGGGTCAACTTGGGTTTTGTTTCTTGTTGGCTTGAAGCGATTTTGATGTCCTGGGTCATTCACTAAGTGTGACACAGCAGCATTCAGATTACAAGTACCTCTGGCTTTATTAAGCAGGTGAGATTAAAAGAAAACAAACCACTGGAAGATTTTTCTCTTCTGTGGAAACCTGAAGGAGTTAATTTGAACTGGAGTTGTAGTGTTAAGATGATATCGATGGTGATGGAGCGAGTAAAGGTATTGTTTTCACACTGCTGCTTTGTCTTGGAAAGCTCTACTTTAAGGCACTCTTTTCTTTTTGATGCTGTCTCATCTCCAAAATTAAGTCATGGCTGTCAATGTGTTTAATTTATTTGCCATCAGAAGCATTATTACTTTCTGTGAAGGATGAGAAACACTGAAGATATTAAAGATCAGCTTTGCTAGAGCAGAGCTGAGTAGAGGAGAGTTACAAAAAACTGGTACCTTCTATGGGAAGATTTCAGGCATTCATCCACCTCCCAGCCTTCCACTGCCCCATGGTGAGGATCCAGGAGCCTTGATCATAGGCACCCAGTATCAGGAAATCTGGACGGGCTCCCTGAGCCACGGGAATCCCTGAGACCTGCTGCTGCTAGGATGCCTCTGGTGTCCTGGGGGTTTTGTTTTGATTGCTCATCAGTGGACCATTGAGGAAATCATTATAGAATCATAGAACCGCTTCAGTTGGAATGGACTTTAAAGACCATCAAGCTTCAACTCACTTCCATTGGCAGGGGTGACTGGCATGAGGTAGGAAGGGACAGAAACTCAGGCAGCTGAAGACTCAGGATGCAGTGCACCACGAAGCTCAAACCAAGCGCTTTAGATTCAGATGAAGTACTTAGGACTGAAGTGCTAAAATATCTGAGTAGTTTCCCAAGGTCCCCACTGACCAAGCTGTCCATATGACACCTGCAGAAAGTGAATCACTGATGGTTATAACTTCTGAGCAAACAAGAACCTCAATTATTTATTTATTTTTTAAAACATTGGAGATAAAAGATGATGCTAACAGGAGCTTTTTGTCATGAGTAGAGCTGTTCTTAGCACCAGAAAAAAAAAAGAAACATCCTCTTGGTGAGATCTGCTGGAAACTATTTGGATTGGTACATTTGTTGCATTAACACGTTTTGAATAACGGATACTGTTTGGAAACAAAATTTTCCAAATGAAAGAAATTATGTACTATATCTGGTGCAGGAGCTGAACAACAGGAATTCACATTTTCCATTTCCTGGTGTGGAATAAACAAAGTAGGCTTAAAATTAGTAAATCAGTTAGTCACTATATTATGAATGGCATGGTCAGCAATACCACTGCTCAAGGAAAATGTTTGTTAGAACTACATCCAGTTTTCTAAATAAAACGGGCCTGCTGCTTGGCACAAGGGTCTCACCTTGGTGTGATGGAGTGTTTGGCAGCCCATATTTGAGCATCTTTATGCGTGTGACTCTGAAACTCCATTTTTAGCTACCAGCTAAAAATTATTAGTACTGCTAATTACCAGCTAATGCATTTAATTTAATTCCAGTGATGCTAATGTATATATTCAATTCCAGCCATTTTAGAATCATAGAAGAGAATCACAGCATCATGAAGATTGGAGAAAAACTCCAAGATCTCCTAGTCCAACTGTCAGCCCACCCCCATCATGCCCACTGAGCATGTCCCTCAGTGCCACATCCACATGCTTCTTGAACACCTCCAGGGACAGATGCATTTTACAAACACTCTGGCTAAGGTCACCTCACTGTTTGCTTGAGGAGATGCTATCCACAGGTTGTGGCTCATCCCACATGGCACACAGAGGGCAAGGGCAAATGAGGTCATGGATGCCAGCTCCAGGACAGAGCCAGAATGGGCTTCAGCCTTGCTGTTGGCTGAGAGAGAATGGAAATTTTGAGCTTAGCAATAGCCCCTTATTTATTGCTATTAAAAATGCATGACAGCCTGATCTAAGGAGGGACAGTTTTTCTCCAAGCCTAGACCATTGTTCTGAGTGGGAGAGAATTCAAAAACTAAGAAGGATTGTTTATTTAAGAGGAAAGGAAATGCCCAAAGTAACACAAATATGTTATATGTAGAAAAAATGTTCACATGTGCACATTTAAAACGTGTATGAATGCATAACCAAAGCCCCAGAGTGAGGAAGGCATGAGAAGATGAGTCAGGCAGGAGACAGCGTGTTGCTCTGCATCAAGACTCCACTAACCTGCAGGCCCAAAGCTTCTGCTCTTGTGAGTGCACTTCTGATTTGGGTGTAGTAGAATTTATTAGGGATAGAAGTTGTGGAGGTGGTAGAAGCAGGAGTCTGAGCTCTAGCAACACCCTCCTCTGGGCTGGCAGCAGAAGCACATTTTTGCTCCCTTGCCAGGGTGGGACCCAGTGGTGTGGAATAAAAACATTTCACAGCTCTGAGGAAGCCATCAGGTTCTGTGGGTGTGCCTTTGAGGTCACAACTGTCAGCCCAGCTGTGAGCAAACTACCAGAACATTTGGGTTCTTGTCCTGAGCCTCCTGCTCACTGGCGCTGCTGGTGCAGCTCTGTCCCTCTTTCTTTTGTGGCTGCACAGTGAGAAACCAAGCGGGTCAACAAGTTGAGCTTTCAAGGCGGGCGGTATAGATACTGCTAATCACCAAGCCATGCATTTCAGTGGGTTGACATGAAACTCTTGGGCTATGCTTCAGTATGCCTCTCCCCATCACTGCGCTTGTCTACCAGCCACGCAAACCATTAGCTTATATGTTCTCCAGCTCTGTCTTTTGCAGGAGCCTTGGACTCGCATCTCCAGATCACTGACAATGAAGCCAGAATCTACCATCATTAATCTCTTTCAGCATGCATTCAAGGTTCACTTTCAGCAATGTCATAAGGTGGAGCTACAGCCTCTGGCACTTGTGGGAAGCTCTATCACTGACATTCATTAAATGCACTGGAGAGAGATGGCAACTTCAAAATCGATTAATTATCATCATCGCCTCTAATTATATCATGCCCAAACTCTGCGAGAGGTTTTTGAGGTAAATGAAAAATGAGATCTCTGCTATGAGGAAGTTGCGATTAAAACTCACGATGCTAACATAGGAAAGGAAGAAAAGGAGTTTGTCTTGAAGAAAGGAGCAGCTGAGTACCAGACTTTGTGTTAAACTTCTTATCACCGATCTCCTCCTCACCCTGTATCGCCAGCCCTGCTCTGAGGTAAGGAGTTAAATGCTGATTAAGTAAATTTGCATAACTTCAGCCCACAGCAAGTCTAGTTATGCTTCGTGCCCGTGGGCAGCCTCCTTCCATCCCACGCCAGCACAGCCAGCACTGACCCCTGACGCATTGCTGACTGGCATTCCTGCATCCACAGGCAGCTGGGGACACCCACTGCAGGTAGATGACAGCCAAAAAGTGCTCTTATTTGAAAGGGAAGAGAAATTTGATGGTGATTTTGGTACATGCAGCATTTCTTCTCCATCAGTCCTGCAACCTGCTTGACAGCTATCTGAAAGGCTGCAGTGAGGTGGGTTTTGGACTCTTTTCTCAAGTGACAAGTGATAGGATGTGAGGAAACGACCTCAGATTGCACTGGGGATGTTTAGACTGGCTATTGGGAAGAATTTCTCACACAGAGGGTGGTCAAGCACTGGAATGGGCTGTTCAGATAAGTGGTGGAGTCCCCATCCCTAGAGGTACTTCTGAAATGTGTGGACGTGGTGCTAAGGGACGTGGGTTAGTGGTGGGACTTTTGGTAGGATGGTTGGACTTTTGATGATCTTAAAAGCTTTTTCCAGCCTAGATGATTCCATAACTCTGTGCTTTGCCTTTAGACCAGAGAACAAAGTAGCAGCAGCCATTTTAGCACAGCTGGGAATGCTCAGGCGTGGTGGGGAGAGGCAGGGTGTAAGAAGTCCTAGGGGATGGAAGGAACCCAACACATGCTGAGCAGTGTTATTATCATAGAAGAATTTATGGTCATTGTCTTATTATTTGCAGTGCACTTATGGTTAAGTGGCAGTGCGTCATTATGAATGCACCAGTGGGATCAGTACCTTAGCAAAGCTGAAAGGTCCAACCAGAGGAATGGTTGTTTGATGCTACCTTGGCATTTGTTGTTCCACAATCCTTTTTGTTAGGAAAATTCCTGGATGTTTTCAGTGCGTTCTTAGTTTACGTAGGTTGCTCTCATCTCTAGTTTCAGCAAGACGCAGGGAGTCATCTAATAGCACATGGCTGTCTGAATGGAGAACCTGCTGCAGCAGTGGCTGCTGGTAGCCAAGGGCCTGTACCAAGCAACACAGCCCAACACCAGTTTCTTACCAGTTTTCCCTAAACATGTGCTCTGGCCACTATAAGACAAAGAAATGGATTAAAAGAAATGGTCATTTACAGCTGTTTGTATGTAGGAGGTGGTCATTCTTTTCTGGAAGAAATGAATCACATTGCTTCAAGGCATTTCAGATGCTGAGTGCCCTCTCAGATATTCCCTTCTTCTGAGTCATCCCACGCCCTTTTCCTCTGAAATACTTGACAGAGTGAAGGGCAACCTGCTGGAAAGTGCTGGCTCCAGGACTTCATTTCCTTCTATTTGGCTGCAATTGCAGAAGAAACATATTCCATCTATGCTCATGTACTAACCAAGGAATTGTCCTGCCCTTTGGTTTATAAAGCTGCACATTAGCTGTTATGTAGCCCAAGCAGCTATCTAATATTCAGAACCATGTGGGTTCCCTTCAGCTGAAGAAAAATTGAGTCCCCACCTCCACTCAACTTCTCCGTTGAGCACAAATCAACCACAAGCCCAGCTCTCCCTCCACCTTCCCAAGAAGGCAACCGGGCACTTCTGGGAACAGCAATGGCTCCTTGCCCTAGGAGAAAGCTTGCTCATGCTAACATGATTGAATATGTGCGAAACTGGGATAAGGAGAGATGAGAGGCTTAGGACAGTGTACATCTGTGCTGGTACTTCAGATCTGGCTGCAGGAGTGTAGTTGTGAGCCCGGAGGGAGCATGTCCCAAGGCAGGCAGCCACAGGTCAGTGAGCCAGAAACACCAAGCATCTCAGGGTTTGGAGGGTGGCAGTTTGCTTATGCTGCTTGCTTCTGGTGTTTGCTCAAGGGGAAAAAAGGCATAGCAAGGAGATATGCGTGCCTGCTTCTGGGGAGAAGCTTATCTATACCTGACTGTAAAACACACAGCTTCTTTAAAAGAAGAAAAGAACAAAAAAGCCAGGAATAGCACTGCCTTTGAAAGCCTTCCTTGATAACCCAGGCAAAGCTGGACCTCACATTGCTTGCAAGCACAGGAAGCTGTGGGTGGCATGTGTGGGGATACAGCTTTCATTATTTCACCTAAATGACTGGAAAGGCATTTTGCATTTTGACTTCCCAGGATATAAGATTTCCCTTCCCCCATGACCTGGTACCTTTTCTGAATAGGTGAAATTTTGATAATCTCCTTCCCAGTGCACAGCAAAGCCTCCTCTCATGCCTTAGCCTAGCAATTTTGTGCAAATTTCTGGCAGATTGGAAGGGATGTTCAGACAGCTAGTGCTATTGTACAAGCAAAGGATTTCTGATCTTGCTTTCTTCCAGCAGCACCGCCAGCAAAACTGGTTTCTGAGCATAAACCATTTCTACTTGGTGAATGGGGAGACCTGCTAACAAAAAACACGGGTATGAAACTCTTCCTGTGTTGGCTGGACTTGGAAAAGTAAAAGGTTCAATACTGTTGTTGCTTAAGCAACCTACTGCCAAAAGGAGAGCAATGCAAACCTCTCAGGTTTTCGATACCTTAAATATCAGGAGAATGAATAAGCCTCCAACAATGCAGTGATTCTATTGTGGCTTCCCAAAACCTCCCTGCCTGACACTGTGGCTCTCTGTGGGTCATGGCTTATACAAAACCACCTCTGCTGTGCCTGAAGGACCCTACCATTAATGGCTGTAGACTTTTGAATACCAGGGGATCTAGCTCATTTATAAGTGCTCTGTGAACACAACCTTTGAGTTTTGCCACCTGATGGAGTCAGGATTACAGTTTGTCAAGTTTTCTCCTGACCATGTGTCCACCTGGTCCACACAGCAGTGGGCAGGCTGTCTGTCTGCTGCAGGCAGGCTGTCCGACTGCCATAGGAATCAGTGTGATGTGAGGAGACTGGGTTGTGGGCACGGTAGGGCACAGCATACAACTCCGAACAGGGCACAGGTAAATGTTATGTCCTTCTGTTTCCCCAGTGTGGGGCTCCCTTGTGCAGTGCTGACACTCTTGGGTTGAGTCGCCTTCTCTGCCAGACACGGAGATAGGAGTGTCTGTTCAGAGCAGAGCAGAGGAGCAGAGTGGAGGCCCTGAGTTCAAGGAGAGTTCAGACAATGCCTTCAGATATAGGGTTTGATTTTGGGTGGTGCTGTATGGAACCTGGAGTTGAACTCAGTAATCCTTGTGGTTCCCTTCTCTCCTGGAGCCCCTCACTCAGCCAGGCCACTGCTGCTCCTCTTGGATCCTAAGCTCAGGCTGCGCTGGGCAGTGCACTCCACCATCCTTCAGCCTCCAGCTGCAGCAGCAGAGCCTGCACATGGAGTTGCAGATAAAACCATCTGCTGTGTATAAGCTCTTTGGAAGTGTGTCATTTTGATTTCTTTGCAAGTTTCAACTTTCATGAACTCCAAAGGAGGAGAAAGTTTACAGTATTTTCCATCCACTAATTAGAGTTAGTATGTCACTATTATAAAAGTGTGGAGGTCTGAGGTGCTTTTCCACTGCACTGTTTGCTCTTTGCTCATAATGATTTATTTTTATGAGTATATAGCTTTGGCACTTGCACCTGATTTAAGTGAAAACTTCAGATAGCATCTTTAAATCCTCTGTCGGAGTGTCTGAATCTTAAGATAGTCCTTTACTTTGGAAGGTGTGTATAGCCCCACCTTTTTTAAGCCCTTAGAGCAAACGAGCACCTCATCCCAGGTAGACACCCTGAGCAAGGAGATGTGGGGAGCCACTTCTGCACATGGCTCCTTCTGGCCACTCATGGCAGTGCAGAGATCTCTGCTCTCCTCCTGCCCTTTCTTCTTAGAAGTGGAGCAGAGAAGGTCTCTCAGGCACTGTGAGCTGTGATCAATGTGAGCGCTGGACCAATCTGCTCCGAGGATGCCAAGTCCTGTCTCTCCTTAGCCCCAAGTCCTGGAGATGTGCGCACAGCACAGTATGTGTCTGTAGGATGGACAGGATTGCACTTCTTGAAGCATGTGTTTTTGGTCACCAGCTCTTAGTTTGCTGGTAGTGGCTCCGAGGTTACAGCAGTTGTATCAGAAATGGAAGATAAGGGTCAGACTGCTTCCCCACGGGGCTGTTAGCCACATCACCTACTTTCCAAGGCAGTGCCTCTCAGGCTGACCTGGGTGTGCCCGTGCTGCTCCACGACTGCTCAGAGGAAAATGACCCTTTTCCCTTCCTTGGTCAAGGAAGCCTCCCACATCCCTAGGACTGGGAATGGGATATTCAGAAAGCAGCATGCCCCGCTGCTGGGTGCCAGTGCTGCTGGTGGTTGTTGGGATGTGGCCACTTGCTTGCCAAGCACGGAGCGGAAACACAGAATGTCTGCAACACTGTCATTGGGAAGGAGCAGAAACTGCCGCACAGGTCCTGCTGGAGCTGGTACCCACAGCCAGCTCTCGGGAGATACATTCAGGGCTGGGTACAAATTTGTAGCTCGTGACACAGCCTTCCCACAGTGCTTAGAGAGCAGTCAGAAGAAGAAACTGCAGTGTCGGTCACCGCTAAACCGCATTTTCCCTGTCTGGTCATTAAAGCAATGATTGCTTGTTGATTGGAGATGACTCATTTGAATCATCATCATAAAAATGTAACACTGTGCCTCTACCAGTATCCAGGAATTACTCTTCAGTGGAAGGGAATTGTGTTTAACCTTGCTATAGAGGGCTGGAAACTTCTCCATATGCTGACTTTTCCAAATGCTGCAGGTGTCAGCACATTCGTAATGTAACATTGTGGCTTTACAAAGTCTAAATTATATTTGGTTGGCTGACTGCAAACTGAAAACCTACTTTCCCAGCTGGTGTAAATCCATGCAGCTCTCTCTTCTTTGCTGCAGCTATGCCGATGAGAGCAGCTGTGGGTCTGACTGTGGCATTTCTCCTGCTCCTGCAGCCAAGTGACCCTCTGTGTTGTGGCTGTGTAATGGCAGAGTCGTGCAC